AAAAAAAAAAGGAAGAAGAATAAGAGGTGGAGGACATGCTAAACATATTTCCCTTTATACACTTTATTATTACCACAATCTCTATTTTTTCATCAAAGAAAAAAAAAAATTAACTCAGCTTGCTCCAGCTTCAAGTGCCTCATCAGCCTCCATCTCCTCATCTCCCTGATCAGCCCTCTCCTTCAAACCTTCCGAAAACTTTCCACACCTCTCAAAAAGCATCAAAATCTCCCGAACCCCATTCGAATCCCCCTTCTCCTTCAAATACTCCACGCAAGCCCCAACCGTCTTGAAATCGGGCCTCCACTCTGCAAAACTCGATCGGGCCGCCTGTTTAGTCATCTCAACCGCCCTCTCCATCTCCCCACTCCTCAAATACCCGAGCGCCATGTGGCTCCACGTGCTCGCACTCGGGCACCCACCTTCACCCACGGCCCGGCCCAACACAGCCTCAGCTTCCTTCACCATACCTTTCCTGCAGTATGCCCATATAACTGCATTCGGGACCCGCATATCAAGGTACGACCTTTCTCCATCATCATCCTTCTTCTCCTCCACGGCCCACTGCTCGAAAATTTTCCCCAAGCCCTCAAAATCGCCGAGCTTCTCGAGCGAGGCTATCATGCACCCATACCCTCTGTAATACGTTCTCCGCCCGTCCCTCTTCAACCGGGTCCACACTCGATAAACGTGCTCTCTCTCCCCAATCGCTGCATAAACAGTTATCAACACACTGTAAGCCGTTTGCCTCTCCTTACTTCTAACCGAGTGCTCGGCTTTGCCGAGCGCTTTCATGGCCTTCTCCATGAGGCGGGCCTTGATGTACCCTTTCGCGGCCGTTATGTACGCGTGGCAGTTCACAGTCACGTGTGGGTCGAGCTCCATTTTCATCAGCAGCCTTTCCATCTTTCGCAAATCGGAATTTGTGGCGTGAGAGTTTAGACGAATGTTGTAAGTGAACTCGTCAAGCTCGATGCCTTTCTCCTCCATTTCATGAGCTAATGAGTCGAGCCTTCTGTGGTTTCCAGTTCGGGAGTAGAGGCTCAGCATCGTGTTGTAATCGAGGTTTGAAGGAGCGTGGAGGGTTCGGATTTGGTTAAAGATGGCCTCGGCTTTGCTGATGTCATTGGCATCGGCGTAGGAGTTAAGGAGGGCGCCGTGGACTGAGGGAACGAGTTGGGTCGGGTCGAGTGTGTCGAAATATTGTTGGGCTCGCGCCGGACCGTGGACCTTGGAGATGAGGTCTAGGTGGAGCCCGGCGAGGCCCGGCCTGGAATCTGAGTATTTCATCTCAATCAACCATTCGGAGAGCTGAGGTGTGAGGTACGAGGTTTAGGGTTTTGCAGAGAAAAGGCATGAATGGACAAATTACAAGCAGGATTAGAATCATCAGTTCAATCAAATAAGAAATCACCTTCTGATATGACAGAATCTTTTCAATCTACGGTTCAAATCAACTGGCAGAGCAATCAAAATTGATCAAAAATCGATTTTATTTTTTTTTTGGGAAAACGTGAACTTTTAATCAAGAAACACACATACAGAAAAAAAAAAATCAAATAGGCCCGCGCGAGAGATGAGATTTACTACCTCGAGGGCGGGCTTGAAGCGGCGGGTTTTTCTGCAAGTTTTGATGAATCTCTTGAGCTCGCCGTAATCCACGGGGCGGCCCTCGACGACCCATTTGTCGAGAATCGGAGTAAGCGGGCCCCTTTGTTCCCGGCATATCTGGAGACGATGATACAGAGTGTCCGGCGAGTCGGGCTGGGTTCGGGTGGAGTACGAGGAAACCCCGAAGGCCCGATAAGGGCTCTGCTTGAAGAGTGAATATGAGAATCTGCTTAGGAGCTTCGACATTTTTGTGTTCATTTTAGCGAGCATTTTTTTATCCCTTGAATTTAGCAATTGTACTTTAAGCTGCATTAAACCCCTTTTAACTTCTTCAAGAAGTTACTCCATTTTGTTTTTTTTACCCTAGGATGCTCTTTTGTTGTGTTTTTGGAGTTCGTTTTATCTTTTCTTTTCCTCATTTTAGGTACTTTATTTGGTTTTTGATCTATTTTGTGTCTGGTAGTGTATTGTTCCTTATTTTATTCGTTTTAGACATTCTTGTTTGTTTTTTCCGATTTTTGCGTTTTTCTTGTTGTTGTGGTGTGCGGTTGGATACCTAATAACCGAGTGGAGTTAATTATCTAGAAAGATGAGTTGGGTCTGATTGAAAAAATACAGAATTCAATTTTGAGTCCGGATGCGTGCGTACGATCCCGAGAACCATTACTGTGCTGAAAATCCTTCACCACGGCCCCCTACGGTCCTCTCACGGCCGCGATGAACAATTTGAACCAGGCGCCCAATTTTCTTCGTCGGGCTGCGGGGCACTTCTGCGGTAAAATTTTCGCGGCCTCGGGAAGATTCGCGGCAGCGGAGTTTTTCTTCACCGCGACCCACGAGACTCTCCGCGGCCGCGGAGGACGCGATTTCCAAATTTTAATTTTTAATGACGATTAAGGGGAGACTTTTTTGAATATTTTTGGGATATAAGACGCTAGGGTTGAAAAAAATATCGTTCCAAATTTTGTACTTTAATCTTTTCATCTCTAAACACATTCCCTCTTCAACTTTCACTTGGGTTTCTTTGGATTTTACTTGGATTCGGGTTTTGGATATTGTGTCACTCTAAACCAAACACGATTCAGTTTGTATTTTGATTTCATTCTCAGCTTAGATCAATAGTAATTTCTTTTTCATTTGATTATGGATGTGATTTATTGTGTTGAATTTTTTGTTGGGATTGATATCAGTATGTGTCGCTAAATCGTTTTGTTAGGAATATAGGTATTTGTTTCGATTAAGATTCATGTGTGCATGTTTGCCGTTCAATCTATTCGAGTTGTGCTTAATCTAAGGTTAGATGCTTGAT